GAGCACAGAGAGGGAGCAGAGAGCAAGTTGAGAGGCACAGAGATAGCAGAGTGAAGGAGCAGAGAGAGGGGGGAATGAGGCAGAAGAAAGCAGAGATGCAGTCAGAGGGAGAAAAGAGGGATGGAGAGAACTGAGAGCTAACACACAGAGAGAGGGCATGGAGGTGCAGAGAGGGAGCTGAGAGGCAGAGAACAAAGAGAGCCCACAGCACCCCAATACCTTGGGGCAAGGGGAACCTGCTGCTCTCCTCCTGCCCCACAACCCCAACCTCCTCTGCACCTTCTGCCCTACATCAACCCAACCCATGGCAAACCTGCCAGACCCACACTCCAGCCCCAATCCAGTCCCTCAGCAGCTCTGGTTTGCCCCACATGCATCCCCTGCCTGGCTCCCCAAAATCCCTCTCCCTCCCCACTCCTCCCAGGGCCTCTCTCCAGCCTTGGCTGCTCATCCCACCCTCCCCAGCAGCACACAGGACCACAGTGCTTACGAAGGATTACAACACTTTTTATTCCCACGCAGCCGTTTCACAGAGTACAAACAGGAGACAAACACCAACACAGACAGCCCCCCCACACCCACCAGCACCCCAAGGCTGCTCTTGGCTCTGCCACCAGGCACCCCAACACTGCCCTGTGCCTGCAGACCCCAACCCTGCGGCACACCAGGGAATTCCAGCCTGGCTTGTGATCCTGCCCACCAGATAGCACCACTTTCTGAACATTGGGACTGGCTTTTGTCATCACCACAGCACAACAAGAAGCTTCCCAGCCCCCCCAGGGATGAGCTCAGCCCTCTGACACACACCTCAACATCACCTCTGCTCCTCAGAGCTGGAGGGTGACACAGTCCCAAGGTGTTGTGACATCCAACCATGCTCATGTGCCCACCCTGTGCCAAAACACCTACCTTTGGCCGAGTCCATGAGCTCACAAGACCCTGATGGCAGCTCCAAGGCCTGTGGAGACCTACAGCTGTCTGTGCAAGGGGACAGCACATGCTGCAGCCTGTCCCATGCTACTGACAGCAGTGTGGGCCACCTACAGTGCAAGCTACAAGGGGAAACCTGGGGAAAAGCTGCAAACCCCTGCTTGAGGCCACGGCAGTGGTGGAAAGCTGCAAATAAAAAAAAAACAACCCCAAACCACAGTCCCACAGTGGCAAACACCCAGCAAATCCTGCCCGTGTGCCAACTCCACGTCGGGGTCTCTCTCCAGGTCATGTCCCTCTCTCCTTGCAGCAGGTTGGGTTGGAGCAGCTTGGCCACTGCAGGGGGGCTGTCTCCTACCCTACAAAGACTCAGGCTGGCGCGAGAACAGTTTTTGGCTGGGCGGCAGAGCCGCACCTACGAGGTCAGGTCCCGCAGAGCTGCACACAGCCACAGCTGTGCTGCCAGCAGGAGGGTCACTCGGGCACGGCGCTCCCCTGAAGAGCTGGAGGCTGCCAACACAACAAGACCCACATGAGCTGAGGCCCTGCACACACACAGCGAGTGCCTCCTCCCCCTGAACCATCGTGAGCTCTCCCCGGTGCCCCATCTGCTTCTAGACCTCCCTCCCATAAACCCCTAGTTGGTCTCCAGTCTCTTCCCATGGCCTCTACTCTACCCTGTGGCTGCCCTAAACCATGCTATGGGCCATCAATTCTCTTTGCAACTGCCTGACAGCTCTTCAAAGTGTGCCAGCATTGGCCTCAGCCTTCAGGAACATCTCCCCTGCCCTCCACCTCTCTCCTATTTACCACACATTCCACCTGCCTTCCCTGTGCTGCTCACCCCCACAGCCCCTCAGCTTGGGTGTGGAAGCCCCTGCTGTGCCTGCCCCAACCCTGGTAACTTACCTCTGCAGCTCTTGCCATCCCCCTGCAGTGTCCCTGTCACACAGCTGCACAGAGGTCCGTCCGCCCGGCTCGTGCAGATCTGCTCACAGCCCCCGTTGTCCTCGCACCAGTCGGATCCTGAGCACACAGAGCAAAGGAATGCCCCAAGCCCCTGATCCTTGGCTGCCTAACACCTGAATGGCAGACAAACCCCCACAGCCTTCCTCAGTATCCCACACACTTACTCTTCCTCCTGATGGGCCCCACTGAGAGGATCTGCTCCTTGGACTCCTCGGCGAAGGCGCTGGCCATCCTCGTGTGCTGAGGGCAGTTCTGTTGGGGATAAATACCACCTCTGTCACTCTCAGCCCCTGCTGGGCCCTCTCCATGCCCCTCAGTCCAGCCCAGCTCCCAAAGGGACTCTGCAATCAGGCTCAGAGAGCACAGGTCCCAAGATGACCTGTGCAGGGCTCTCCTCCCAAGTGTCTAGAGGGACACACAGCCCTCCCGGTCTCACCCTCAGGGCTACATCTCTTGTTTTCTCTCTGGTGTTGCATCAAACTCTGACAGAGCAACCTGTCCCTTGGCACCTGCTCTCCACTTACTATTTTGCAGGAGTATTTCTCTGAATCACAGAGTGAGACAGCGCAGTGGAGGTGAACCTCATCATAGTCCCCGATGAACTTGAACACGGTGACGTGGAAGCGACACGTCAACGACACCCCGTTCTCCTCTATGCCAATGGTGTTGTCCTTCATGTTTTGGCACCTGTGCAAAGCACCACAACCCTCCTGTGACCAGAACCCTCCCTCAAGGGACTTGTCCCTGTAAGGTAAGGCCCACACGGTGCTGTGCTTAGCTCCTGGCATGGCTTGTCTGGACAAGGACGTCATGTCCTGCCGTTGTAACCTCTCTGTAGCACTTCCAACTTGATTGTACTCCCACTTCCCAAAATGCCTGTGATGTGATTCATATCCCTCATCTCCTACAGGCATCCCATACCCATAGGAGGAAGGCACTTCTCTCCGTGTCTGGGACTCTGTCACACTTAGCTACCTCTACACTGGGAACTAACTCCTGCACTAACAACATGAGCTGGAGCATTCCTCACCCCTTCCAGATCTTGACCAACCATGTCACTGATCAAAAGGTCCCTTCTCCAACTGATACCACCACCCTCTTCGAGCTCCCTCCCCAATAGACCCCATGAAAAGCAACAGAACCTGCTGACTGGTCACTCACCCTCCCTCGATGATGAAGTAGCGCAGTTTGTCGTTGCTGTCCCGTGAAGGAGTTGCATAGCACTTGTTCAGCATCAGGATCAGATGGTTGGAATCAGCCCCCACGACAAAGACCCCCACGTAGAGCACGTCCCTAGTGGTGAGCACCACCTCACCCTGCCTGTAAGGGTGTTTGTAGGAGGAGTTCTTGTACAAGGCCATCTTGGTGGTGAAGCTCCCTTCCTGCGTCGGCACCGTCAGGTTAATCACGCTGATGATGATAAAACAGTACTGGCTCAGATGGAGGAAAGGCTGTGAATCCCCAAACTGCTGCCTCACAGTGTGCTCCCACACCTGTGCAACAGGCCCTGGCTCCTACCTGAGCATTGGTCTCACAACTGAGTCCAGGGAGATCTTGATGTCCAGCTCATAGGCACAGGAAAACTCCACATTGATGGTCCGGTCCCGGGTGATGATGTTGCCTGTGTTGTTGGCACTCTCAATCCACACTGTGTTCTTGTACACTATGTGTGTGCTGTTGGACTGCAGAAGGAACACAAAGCATCACTGGAGACCAGACACCTTCTCCCCTGCTCCTAATGAACACCTAAAAGATCTGTGACACCAAGGGCCTCACTGCTCCTCCACCTTTGGCCAAAAAGGGGATGATATGGTGGGGCTAGGAGTCTACAAGACCTGCCTCTGTTCTCCCTGACTCCCACCCCATGAAAGTGCCTCCCAAAATTCACTCACTGCCCCTGACAGGCATCGATCTGGGCTGCCAAGAGGACTAGTCCCCACTCCCAGCCCCGAGAGCCCCACGTCCTGGCTCACCTGCACCAGGTTGCCACAGTTGCCTTTGGTGTTGTTGATCTGGAAGGAGATGAAGTCCTCCCCCTCAATGCCAGGGCAGTGTCGGTCATTGACCCGCACGCCCTCACGCTCAAAGCCCAGCTGGAACAGCTTGCACTTGGAAATGGACACCTCCATTTGGGCAGCTTTGCAGGTCACCTCGGCGTCAATGATGTCGTGCGTGGCTAGAGGAGAAGATGAGACAGCCTCAGATCACCAAACGTGGTTCACTCCCACCACCAGAAATGGGCTGGGATCATCTCCTGTGGTGTGTCCTACCTCCCCACTGTTCAAAGTGTCCCCAAGCCAGAGATGCCCACAATGAGCACCCCAGAAAACCTGTTCCCTGTTCCCGTGCAAAGTCAGGAAACCTCATCTTGGCAGAGATCCCAAGCCCTCAACAGTTCATGAAGCCCCAGCAGTACAATGGCCCAATGTGCTGCTCAGCACCAACCCTGGACAGACACTGTCCCAGGTTGCCCAGGGAGGCTGTGGCTGCCCCAACCCTGGCAGAGTTCATTCCAGGTTGGATGAGCCTTGAGCAACCTGCTCTGGTGGGAGGTGTCCCTGCCCAGGGCAGGGGTTGGGGCTGGATGATCTCTAAGCTCCATCCCAACCCCTTCACACACTATGAACCTCTGTCCCCATGCCAAAACCAGAGCACTCACTGTTCCCATAGGGTGGGGGCTCGATGCAGCCACACAGTTCCCCACCGTTGTCCAGCTCACAGGTGCGGTTGGGGCAGTCGGCACCCACGCAGGGATCTTCCACCACTCCTGCTAAATAGCACAAGACAGAGCACAAACACAACCTTTAAACCTCTCTCATCCACGGCTGCAGTCCCTCAGCTTCCCCCTCAACCCAGCCAGCCCCCAGCTCACTTACAGCAATTCTCCTTCTCAATCCACTCGGTGCCCAGGAT